TCTCCGCATTCCATTCATGTTCCAAAAATTTTAATTTTGTTTTATTATTTAACTTTGAATACTCACCTTCATCTTTCAACGAACGTAACACCTCACTTGCCATTTTTGAGGCTTTATCGCCTGAACGAAGTTCGTCAACCATTGATATGCTTTTGAATAGATCTAGCCTAAATTTTTTAAGTTTACATTGCTGTCCAATTGAACCCACCAGCTTTTTGATACGATACTTAAAAACGTTTTGGAGGGATTAATTTCGAATCGATCATTGCAAGCATCTAAACTGTGGGAAATGAATTGAATTGATCTCGAAAAGCTACCTGGTTGGCCAAATCATATTCCAGATCTGTTGGATTGAAAAGTAACACACGACCCTCTTTTCTTTTCGTCTTTTCGTCTTTCCTTTGAACGTAAATTGAGCCAGATGTAAAGTGGATTCAGGTCTGATGAGTGGATGGTTATCCTCGTTCCTTCCTCGGCTTCTTGAAGCTAGAAAAGTAAGACTACGATATTTGAAAGTAAACTTATTGCATATCGCTACTTAATGTGGCAATTTTATTTCTCGATAATATTTTTAGAGCCGATAGCCGACTTTTAACAAATTTTTTAGGCATCAGTAACCCGTTTTAAGTTTCAAATTAATGAGTTGAACAATTTATTGGAGAACACACAAAAAAAGAAACAACAATAGTAAGAAAATTAGAAAAAATCATTAGCCTTTCAATCTTGAGGAATCATGAAGAATTCTTAGCTGGAGGTTTCCATCTTCAAGCTTGAAATTCAATGGAGCTACATACTTACTTTCGATCGTATTTACCGTTTCGACCGTATCGTATTTACTTCCGAGGCCAGAGTTCTTCAGTTGTCAAGCAAAACAACCAATATTCATTTCAGCGGGAAACTGAAAACGAAAATTGCTACAAACAACAATGATTTGAGGCAAGAAATAGAATGAGGACGCAAAGATTTCCGCAATAATTTACCAATATTCAGACTACCAGGATTAGAGAACCTTTAGTGGCTTTTCCCACAGTATTGCCTTTTCAGTCATTTTCGAAATGGCAGGCTCTTTGTGAAAAGTAATTCGTTTGAGTGATAGTTCTTTGATTGAAACTAAAGTCGATTCTCGTTGATCTCTATTATAAAGGCCTTTAGCCACTGTCGTCACTATGCTTGACTCATTATTTTTGATTTCGTTTGATGGGGCTGGATTTAAGTGGAGATGAGGAATCCTCATTGTGGGATCCTCCTCCAATTGACAGAGTTCCGAATAGAAAAAAGGACAAAATAGATAAATGAATAAAATAGATAAAATATTAGACTGGCCGATAAATTCGTAGAAATTATTTATCTGAAATATAGCTGGAATCGCCAACCTCGGAATACCCCTGGACTGCATTAATTAGGATTGAATGATCCTTGATATCATATTCTGGATATTTCCGATTTTAGGCGCTTCACCTCGCCGAGTAATTGCATGGTCGTCACTCCGGGTTCCATCCGCTTTGCTCCCATTTTTAGTCCGTTTGGCCACTTGGAGATTTTCGTCGGGCTATAACGACATCAGGGAAATATTTGACTCGAAGAGTTTTCTTTTGTCATCAATTTATGATTTCTTAGTTAATAAACGTTTTTAGTAATTCTGTATCACGATAAAGTTACATATTCGCAAGCATTCCCCTCAGAGACACATAGGGCCTCAGACATCATCGAAAACCATAAGCTCATAGACAAGCTTCAACGAAAAGAAGCGATCGCTTTTCTTTCTTTCTTACATTTTTACGCTTACAGGTAGAATCAATATTTCACCGCTTTTACATTTCTGTGTTCTTCGAACTCGACTCTCAGCTCATTTTGGAACCTAATCAACTCGCTAGTTGAGTCTTGAAATTCTTATGCTTTTTGTCAACTTCTCGTTGCTGCTCTTTAAAACTTGTTGATTACATATTTTAACAGAGCATCTCCCCTATCATCAAGTTCACAATCTTTCTTACTAAGCTTTCTGTCAAATGGTTGGTATGTGAACCTTGAGATTTGTTGCGAATCCTGCTCGCCAATTTTGTTGTGTAGATGGTCTTAGCTTCAGGCAACTTGATCACTTTGAATCTCAAGGTGATTTGGTGTCTTGATAATTGTGTTAGATTTATTCAAGAAACTTCAATCAAAGCTGACCTTTGTCCCTTGGCCCTTCTCTCTTAACCCATTGACCAACCTTCAATTTTTCTTCATTAGGAGGTGCCAATTGCAAATTGGATAATTTTCCCCCTGATCCCCGGTCCCGATGATGATTAATCCACTTACTCCTCTCTAAAATACTAGACCTCAGTACCTTAATGAAAAGGGAAAATATTTTCAGAGTGAACTTTTTAACTCACACTTTTTAACTTTTTAACCTGAACCTAAGCCAACATCTGTCGCATCCGTAACGATAGGGTTTCTACCGATTCTTCGACTGGTTTGAATCAAATGAATCCTGTAACTAAAAACCAATTTCAGACGCTCTGTCTACTGGCCTTTGCCATCTCGTTGAGGAATTACGGTAAACTTAGAATTAAATAGCTTTGGGCTGACAATAAGAGATTTTTCAGTGGCGGTGGCCGAATCAGTGTGCCGCGAAGTAGGGTGAATCGTCCGGTCAAAGTCCCTAGACTCGAAAGAAACCCAGGTTTTCCAGTCAATTAAAGTCACTCAAAGCACCCAATTGCAGTGAGCTGAAACCCTTCCAATTGCCACTTCCGAATAAAGGACAACGTTCAGCCATGACGACGCAGCTAAGATCCCGGATATCGACAGAATCACGATCAATATGTGTAGTGTCAAACAGACAACAAGAAATAGTAGTTCATTACTTTCTAGATCAAAATAAACCGGCAAAGAAGGATACAACTCGATTCACTACCCGGCAATCAATGAGTGGGTGATTTGAAGAATCTGGCTCGAAAACCCAAAACTCACAGAAAGCCCTCTGCTCATCTTTTGCCTCCACGTGCCAACGACTACTCGGCTACCGGAAATCCCCTCGAGAAATTGTGAGTCGATCCGTGCAATTACATGGACATCAATGACCCTAACGGTCGTATTCACAATTCTCTTCTCCAGATTGCCAAAACATTTGCCGGAGACCTAAGAAAAATTTCATTAGTTTCGACCATTCGCAGAGTGATCAAGCCAAATTTTGCCGATGACCTCAAGAAGAATCCGGCTCCCGATTGGTGGCAGAGTGCTACCGGATGGCCAGCGAACCTTCAAGAATAGTGACGAGTACAGCCGTCAACTGCCCGAGATTCCTGGATATCGATACGTTAGGTTTCTTTGAATGTGGGTAAGCTTCAGCCTATCTATTCAATCTAGTCGTGTATCGGGTTCCGGACATCGTGACGATCGCATTGAGGGCTTCGGGTTCAAAGCGGCTGGTCGTCCTGTTGTGATTCCCGTCAAATCCGAGCACATCTATCAACATTCGGATTTGGGACACGGGGACAAGCACCGCTTAAGTCAGTTCTCCAATGCTTTTAACCAGGGGGCAAAGCACACTATCGTTCGCTTTGCCCGCTGGCTGGTCCGGAGACCCGTGAAAGTCTGGAGATCGTAGGATCCATACATACATGCAAGTTGTACGTAGCAACAACGATATCAAATTTAGATCCCCCGAGATCTGTTGCACCCGGAAAAAACGTCCTGGCGATAAAATGGGTCACATTCGACCTAAAGCCGAAGGAGGCTCCGGAAAGGTCCACAACATTTTCTCCGAAGATGGACCGGTCAGTGAAATTAATCTTGACATGCTCATTTTGACATCAGTTGAATCAAGGACCCGGCGCGAGGATGGAAGCCGGAGCTCGCCAAACACGGAAGTATAATCCCCAAAACTCGGTTTTTGTGACGGTTGAAGAGAATCTATCTAGATCAGACCCAAACTATTTAGCATCATTTCGACGTGGGTGCCGGAGAAAATCAGTTCCGAGCTTCCGGATTCAAGTGGGTTGACACGTCTAGAGATTATTTAGTAGAAATGCGTTCTTGACCCACTGGCAACATCTAGATATCAAATCGAATCGCACAAACACGGCGAGCACAGCGTCGATTCGGGATACTTCAAGAATGGCGACTTCTAAAGAAAGTGATTGATGATCATTGTTCCAAAGCATCCTTTTCCTTACCATCATTTATAACTACCCGCAATAATAAAGTTCTCATTCAAACCCACACGGGTTTCTGTCTTTTGTGATCCCCATCAAAACTTTGTTCTATTTAGAGTTCTTCTGAATCTTTAGGCACTTGAGCTAATCTGCAAAATGATAACAGATTGATCGCCTATCGATCGAACCACGGAACGCCGAGCTTTCGGTCTATGCCGTTATTCTATTTAATTTGGACTAATAGGGACTCCTTTGATTGAAAAGAGATCTTTGTGAAACTCAAAGCGATTCTCGAACAGCATCTCTTTCGCCGTATCTCTTCACTCGCTACTCGTGCTTCAAACAAATAAACAAATCAAACAGAAACAGATGTACAAAGAAATTAGCTACATGTAACTCTTCGCAAACGTCGCTGAGAACATCACGAGGCAAATGAATGGGGAATTTCGAATGAAATCCATTTTGATTGCTTTCAGTTTGACATCACTAAGGGGCACCTTACAGAACCAACAGTGAGTCGAAAAAAAGCATAAATCGAATTTTTGAGAACTTCAGGAACAAAATCAAAAGACAAATCGACGAGTTGAGGGACGAGAAGAGCGACCTTCACGAAGAATTGTCAGTTTCCTCCTGCTGATGTCTATTGATGTTCAACACGTTTGTCTAATAGTCTATTCAGGAGCGACGAGAGAGCAAAATACTTGCAGCTTTAGGCGGAATTCTGGCAAAACTTTTATATGAGATTTTGAAGAAAAAATTCGGAAATAAAGAAAAAGATAATGTGCAGTTGTGTGTTTTCAGAAGAATGAATAAAATAGGATTTATTGGTTTTTCTTCACAAAAAAGAACATAAGACATTTATCAGAATTCAGAGTCCCTTTTGCAGATAAATTGAAACTCCTCGTTAGGAGGATCGACCCCCCATTTCCCCTTGTCGTTCCAAAGCTGAAATGCATTTCTGATGAAAATCCTTTGATAAAACACTTTGCGTTATTTCACAAAAAGAAATTTGCTCAGATCGATCAAAACATTTTGCGATTAATTCTGCATTGGAAATTGGAATAAGTATCGATGATTTCCCCCTGAAAATCTCACCACAGCGTGGGTGTACGAATCCGGCTCTCCCACCATCCAATTCGTGAAATCCACCGAACTTCCATCCGTCCATTCAAAAGCATTTCCTTTGTCCGGATTTCTCTGAATAAAGAAATTTTTATGTTTAACCTTGATATTTCCATCTTTTTTAAAACTACTCTAGTTTCCCAATTGAAACATTATTTCTATCAAAGAACTATCAATCAAAGAGCTCATTTTTTCCGAAAATGGCTGAAAGGATCTTTACTTTCTATTTATTTATGTCTTTCAATAAGAAAAGTTCAACCTTCAGTCCTATCCAGAACGACCGATTCGCAGGAAAATTTTTCGCTGAAATAAATATCGGTTGTTTTTGGTTTATAAAGCATAAACTTGTGTGAAAATCATAAATTTTCAGAATTGAATCATTTCGATTTCTTACCGAGTTTCCAAACAAAATCGTTCTCTTCCTGACTGTGAATTGAGACTAAATGGCCCTTTCGACTCGCACAATATGCCTCGGCTTCATCAAATGTCATCCATTGACCAAAACCCTTGAGATGAAGATAATCCTGGTTCACCACATCCACCAACCTTATACCAAGAAGCCGTTTTCGCCAAATACGACCATCCATCCCGATACAGATCCAAGAGATTCATCGTCCGATTTCTGAATTTCTTCGAAAAACCTTACTCCAAACTTTGCAAAGAAATACTCAATCCTTTTTCTTAAACGCATAAATCTGCCCGCAACTTCCTGATTTTGGCCGTTTTTTCCCTTTCATTGTCTAGAGAGGAATTAATTGGCTTAAGTGGAATGGGTGTTTTGGGAGTCAAAAAACTGTTTTATACCAAAGATATACCAAATGAACTCACATTTGGGTTTCGAGGCCAGAGATTTTGCTCTGGAACGCGTTGATTTTCCCTTCAAGCTCTCCAATCTTGACTTTTCCGTCTCTCACTTCCGTATTTTGAGTTCTTCTGAAAAAAGTTCGCATTTTAACTATATATTGAGCTTGTCAGAAAAGAAAGTCACAAAATTAGTACAATTGTGCCTCGAGATCGTCGTTCTTCCTTTTCATCTCGGCGATTTTCCTTTCGAATTCTCGATTTCTCTCCCTTTCGTCAACCAAATCGGCCTCCAACTCCGTGATTTTCAAATTCGCCTCGATTTGAACCATGTTTGCTGCCAATTGGCGCATCTCGACGTCTTTGTCCTTTTTGATTTCTTCCCTAAACTCTTCGATTAAATTAAAAGACTCTTTTGGATAGCAGCAAAGATTCGGCGAACAACCCACAAATCGGCTTCGAGTTGAGCGATTTTCTTCAACGAGATGGCCGGTTCTTCTATTGACAGTCTTTTCAGGCAATTCTGGAGTCATTTCGGGCATTTCTGGAGATTTGGAAAAAGAAGAGACGCTCTGAAGAGAGCGAGGAGGAAGATTCGAGAGATCGTCCATTTCGTTTGCTAGACAATTGGTTCACTACAAAATGACTGAATTTTCTTGAAGAACAAGTGAAAATTAAAGGAAACAGCTACTAAAGAGGCATAATTGATGAGAAAAGATAAAATCAAACAAGAAATTCGGTGCCAAGCAAAATAGCGATTTCTTACCACGGAAAATAAAGAGAAAGGAGAGGAATGCCCGATTTACAAACTAATTAACGATTTACAAATGACAGGGAATTTCACTTTGAAACGGCTCAATGTGACGATTTTTTTTGGAAAGATGAGCCGTAATGGTGTTCGTTGAGAACAGGAATTGATTCTCCAATCGTCCGTATTTGTTGTGCTCCTCGAAAGAGATTATCAAATGATTTCGATCGATTCCCCCAGAACCTTCGATACAGATTCTGTCCAATTTTCGGAGAAACAAACATTTGTGTTGAGATCGGTGGCTTTCTTCTTCTCCAAGAACATTTCCATTTCCAAGGAAATTAAAAAAATCGTTGGCCTCTCAGTCTTGAGGAATCATGAAGCATTCTTGAAGAATTCTTAACAAAACCGTGCTTTCTTTATTTTCAAAAGTAGCCTAAAATAAAAAATAGTCTAATACTTTTGAAGCAAACTTGAAATTCACGTTTCAGCCGACAAAAACGCTCGCAGAGAAGTCCATAAAACCTTTCATAAGTACGTTGCTGTGCACAACAATCAACGAACATGTGAATGAGTTCCGGCTAAAATGAAAAAAATGTGGCTCTTCTCTATTACTAGGTACCTTAAAATTTAACAAAAGCGTGTTCCACGGTTAAAGTACCTAGTAATTGGAAAGAGCCAAAAATGTTTTATATTCTATCAATAAGACCAACCTCCAATTCTGGCTTGACACCCACTTTGAGAAGTTTGTGAGCGGCCCCTTAACAGTCGAGCGATGTCAAGTAAACTTCGCGACGGAAAGCAACGAGATTTTGCTCAGTGTTGTCAACGATTTCCATTTGTTGAGGTTGAGCTGAAATAAGTATTTAAATATTGCCTTAGATTCGTCTGAAGTTCCATAAAATTTAAATCGATAAAATTGAATGTCTACCGTTTGCAGCTGCCTCATCGTCACCTTCTTCATCCTCCTCTTCTTCTGATTCCTCTTCACTTTCACCGGCGTGACCAATGATTTGTTCACGGTTCTTGTTGCAGGCAGCTTCATTTTTCTCAAAATCGGGATCCAATTTGAAAATGTCTGTAAAGCTTGTTTGAAAACCTAGTTAATCCCAAATAAATTTTTTAGGTAGGTATGTGTAATTTGGTCCTCTTCCGAAAGAAGATCGAGTTGATCAATTAAAGCTGTGTAGTCCTTCAAGAATAAACTTTGCCAGGCAATAGAACTAAAAACTGACCTCAAATCTCTCTCTTATCTCTCCGAATTGCCATTGCAGTTTCAATCATATAACGAATACGTGAATCCAATTGTGCTTCAGCAAGAATGTTTCGAAGTCTTGAGAAAACATTGTCCAAGGCACGCGGGGCAATCTAACAAATCATTTCTCAATAAGCGCTTCTAAATCATGCAAACCCCTGTCAGTTTCGCGACACATTCTTTCAGAAAAGCAATACACACTTCCACTGAATCTTCCGTTGGTGTTTGAAGCACCAAAAGCATGATCTCAAGAGCAAGCAAATCGTGAGCCTAAATATGCATCGAATTCATATTCAAAGAAAAACAGCATACCACTTGTTGACTGATCAAATGTGCGAGAAATTTACTGACAGTCACCGTTGTTGCTTTGTCGTTTCGACGAGAAGATCGCTTGAACTGCACAATCAAACGCCTAAATACATAATTTCTAAAGCCTAAAACTGTGAAACATACTTAAGTGTCCATTCACCAATAACAGGAAACTTGGAATTAATCGCTCCAACCAAACCAGCTTATACATGTGAAAATGTTGGAGAAAAGGCTTGTGCTTGAATTCTCGATCGAGTCAGCAAACCCCAAAAATTTTGTTTACTTGAGAAAATGCTAAAAAAACAAACTTTCCACGGATAATGTTTTCTGGAAGAAGCTCTCGCACAATTCCGAAACAACATTGCTGGCGTTGATTTTATTGACGAGACCGTGGATCTTTTTCTTCAGACGCTCCCAATCCTATCGCTGAAATTGCTCACCCGATTTGTCCTAAATTTTTTCTGTGGCCACGTTACCATTTGAAGCATTACCTGGATTTGTTCTTGCATCGACTTCAGCTTCGCTGGTGGGATGTATGCGCCTCCCGTGCGAGAACGCAATAAATCAAAAGACTCTTTCTTTTCCTAAAATGTATTTACTCCAACAAAGTTTTCTTGTATACTTTTTGAGGAGCTTCATTTTCTTTTGCCTTTTCTGGTGATTCATCACGTCGAGCACGTTTTGGCGTTAGTGACCTCTGAATCACTAATACTGAATGCAACCCAGGTTAAAAAACTAACAAAATTCAGAACGTACCTCTCCAAACTAGCTTTAAGCTATGCCATAAAAACTTTACGAAAAGGCAACCCCACCTGGACATTCATGTAATCGTCGACCGAGATGAGGACGCCTCGATATTCCATTCCCCACTTCAATCTGCACACAACTGGCTTTCCGGCGAGGCCATTGAGGAATGGTTTTGGGTTGACTGGTTGAACAGATATTCTCTGAAAACAAAATTAAAAGCGAATTTAAGTAGATAAAACGTTAGAAAGAGCAAGATTGAAGCGGAAAGGAGTCCTCGTAAACAAAAATAACGGTTTTTCGGAATAATTTTTGGAAGAAAAGGATCCGAATACAAAACAGGCATATAACTAGGCGCTTTATGGAGGGACAGTGTGGTTTTTGCACGAGGGAAGAGAAAGGATGACAGAAATAGAAAGGCGTAAAAATGTAAGATTGCCTAATTCAAGAGCACGCGAAAATAAGCAAATAAAATAATTGCTCGATTAAAGTTTTTTAAACCACTAGAAGTAAGTTAAAGATTTTCAGCTAAATAATTAACGACTACATTTTTGAAATAAAATGTTTATTTTGAGTGCATTTTGAGAAATTTTCGGCGCTAAAGCTGACACCTTTTTTAAGCATTTTGTTTTGTTTTGGTGATACTAGCTCAACGCCCCTTTCTTCATCTCATTATTTTACCTCTTTTTCGTCATAAAAGCATACAAAATCATACAATTTTTCAAGAGGGCGATACTGGCTTACCCCATCCCCCACTCAAAATTTTGCTGATCTAGTACAATGTGATAGAGCGGGATTTGAAGATTGAGGCATATTTTAAGTTTTGAAATAGATTTTAGTCATTAAGCAATTTATTTTGGTACTTTGGTATTTGGGAGGAACCACTTTTACACACTGAGAATACATTCTGATTATTTGAATTTAACTACAAAGATAGCTTTTAGACGCTTCTTGACCAAAAAGGATCGAATTGAATTGCAAAGTTAGCTTTTTGATGTATTACTTATTTAGTTAGCAAGTACATTCCAAAATCAAAGACTTATGATTGACAAGGGAAGGTCAACTGGATAGGCTGGCCAAATGACATGAGCCATCTATTTTCCGACGTAGAAAGAAAAGAAGGCACTAACTTACAAGGTTCAATGAAGTTAGTGTGCTAAGTTTTAGCTGAGCAAATCTTGACAGCAACTAATAAGCACAACAATTGCACAACAACAATTTCAATAATTGGTTTCCTTGGCCTGAGGCTGGGAAAACCCACGCTTAGGTGAGATTTTCAAGGTGAAATCATCAATATTTATTCCATTTTCCAATGCATAATTGACCCAGAAATATTTCGATCATGAATTTCTGATTCATTATCGAAATCACGATCTGAGGAAATTTGTTTTTGTGAAATAACGCAAATTGTTTTATCAAAGGATTCCCATCAGAAATGAACACATTTCAGGGGAAATGGTTCGCCTCGTCTCCTACAGGACGTCTCCTCTTCTCCTCTCAGCCTCCTTTTATTTGCAAAAGGGGCTCTCAATTCTGATCAATGATTTGTGTTCTTTTCTGTGGACAAAAACCAATAAATCCCATCTTATTCAATCTTCTGAAAACACACAATTGCACATTATCTTTTTCTTTATTTCTGAATTGTTTTTTCAAAATCTCAGATAGAAAGTTTTCCCAAAAACCCAGAATTCCGCCTGAAGCTGCAAGTATTTTGCTCTCTCATCTCTCCTGAATAGACTATTAGATAAACGTGTTGAACATCAATGGACATCAGCATGAGGAAACTGACAATTCTTCGTGAAGGTCGCTCTTCTCGTCCCTCAACTCGTCGATTTGTCTTTGAATTATAAATGTCTTTGAAACTATAATTTCCATTAGCTTTTATTTATTTGGTAGCTAGATGTTCATTCAACCCTATTATAAAGGCCCTTTAAGGTCAGTGGGGTTTACGGCTGGTTCTTATTAAAAGCTCTTATTCGTTATTAATTGAATAAAGTATTCACATAATCACAACCCTTTTAAAATTTTAAAAAGACAATCAAAGATTTTACATATCACTTTGCATTTTTGGTTTTCTGACAGCGGGAATCTCTTTGAAGCTTGAAGCAGCTCCCAAATAAATAGAATGGAATTGTTTTAAAACCGCCCAACTCACCCTAACTTGAGTGCCGAATTTA